GCTGTCCTGCCACCAACGGGGGGACAGATCCAAAGTCTTACTGGCCATCAAACGTACGTTGGGGAGGTATTCACGTTATTCACCTCCAGGTGACGGCTACTGCCGCCGATGCTCCCTTTTGAGCCCTTGGGAAAGTCCTCGTTCTTGCAGAGGACGTAGCGGGTGAGGATCTTCCGGAAGGTGTACCGGAAGTCCCGGATGCGGTAGGCGTAAATGATGGGGTTGACCACCGAGTTGGTGTGGGAGAGAATGATGGTCAAGTGCATGCTCCATTCGGGCTTGCTGGCCTTGAAGGCGGGGTAGAAAAGAGTCAGGCAGTTGAGGATGTGGAGGGGCAGCCAGCAGAGGGCAAACAGGCCCACGATGATGGCTAGCGACTTGGCGGCGCTGACCTCCTTCTGCAGCGTCATCCGGCAGTGGCCCACCAGCTCGATCTGCCGCAGCTGCTTGCAGGCGACGGTGAAGATCTTGACGTAGATGCAGAGCATGATGAACAGCGGGAGGAGGACGCAGCCGAAGAAGTTGAAGTAGACCATGTAACTCATGGGCACCACGTTCTCGAAGAGGCAGGTCACCAGGCAGTTGTTCTGTCTCCCCCCGTCGGGGGGCAACATCTTGTTAGTGCAGTTCTTACTCGCCTCCATGTTGTTCCAACCCAACAGCGGCGTCAGGCCGATGACGAAGGAGAGGATCCAGAGGACGGCGATGAGTCCGCGCGCTCGCTTCCCCGTCACCATGCTCTTGTATCTGCAGGAAAAAAAGGGGACAAAAATGGGGGTCACAAAAGGGGAACCAAGCTCACCTTTGTTCCTCGGGGTAGGATTGTTGAGTGGCTACAGGGGAAGGTACGAGAACGTGCAACTTTGGAAGCACGGTTCAATGTGAGCCAGCCGTGTGCTGCAGCAGCCAACAAGGCTAACACAATCCTAGGCTGCATTAACAGAGGGATGGAATCAAGATGACGGGAAGAGTTAATACCCCTTTACAAGGCCTTGGTAAGGCCACACTTGGAATACTGCATCCAGTTTTGATCACCATGATGTAAAAAAGGATGTTGAGACTCTAGAAAGAGTGCAGAGAAGAGCAACAAAAATGATCAGGGGACTGGAGGCTAAAACATATAAAGAATGGCTGCTGGAATTGGGAATGTCTAGTTTAATGAAGAGAAGGATTTGGGGGGACATGAAAGCAGTCTTCCAGTATCTCAGGGGCTGCCCCAAAGAAGAGGGAGTCAAGCTATTCTCCAAAGCGCTTGAAGACAGGACAAGAAGCAACGGATGGAAAGTAATCAAGGAGAGAAGCAACCTAGAACTAAGGAGAAATTTCCTGACAGAACAATCAATCAGTGGAACTCCTTGCCTCCAGAAGTTGTGAATGCTCCAACACTGGAGCTTTTAAAGAAGAGACTGGACAGCCATTTGTCTGAAATGGTATAGGGCTTCCTGCCTGAGCAAGGGGTTGGACTAGATGACCTCCAAGGTCCCTTCCAACTTATTATTATTATTATTATTATTATTATTATTATTATTATTATTATTATTATTATTATTATTATTATTAATACCACTTTACAATGCCTTGGTAAGGCCACACCTGGAACATGGCCTCCAGTTTTGGTCACCATGATGTAAAAAAGATGCTGAGACTCTAGAAAGAGTACAGAGAAGAGCAACAAAGATGATTAGGGGACTGGAGGCTAAAACATACAAGGAACAGTTGCTGGAATTGGGGATGTCTAGTTTAATGAAGAGAAAGACGAGGGGGGGCAGGATAGCAGTGTTCCAGTATCTCAGGGGCTGCCCCAAAGAAGAGGGAGTCAAGCTCTTCTCCAAAGCGCCTGAAGGCAGGACAAGAAGCAACGGGTGGAAACTCATCAAGGAGAGAAGCAACCTAGAACTAAGGAGGAACAATTAACCAGTGGAACAACCTGCCTCCAGAAGTTGTGAATGCTCCAACACTGGAAGTTTTCAAGAAGAGGTTGGACAGCCATTTGTCTGAAATGGTATAGAGTTTCCTGCCTGAGCAGGGGATTGGACTAGAGGACCTCCAAGGTCCCTTCCAACTTTATTATTATTATTATTATTATTAACCGTCATAAATACGAGTTGGTGGCCAAGGGCCTGAATTTTGATCGCGCAACTGTCGAGATGCCGCTGTGGTCCTTGGGAAACGGAAAAGAGCGGCCAGTCCCTTTTTCCCAGGGCCGGTGTAACTTTGGACAGTCGCTAAATGGGACCGTTATAAGTCAAGGGGCTTCCTTATTTCTCTTCGGTTCTTTTTCTCGCGTGGGCCACAAAAGAGGGAGTTCAACCCGCAGGAGACGCTTGGACGCCGGACAAGAACAATGAAGGGATGTAAGAAATCAGCAGGACACAGAAGAGCCCCAGCAGGACGTCGGGACTTGAACACAGCGCTGCTTCCCCTCCCAAAAATTCTGCAAATTCCAAAAGGTGGGGGAGCAAGAACGGGATGCCAAATCTCCGCCCTCTGAGGGTGAGATGGCTATCCCGTTTCTATCTTCAAGAGCTGCACGTTGGCGTCAGCAACTCCTCACTCACAACATCCCTGTGAGGTAGGCAGGCTAAGAGAGAGAGAGGGCTGGCTCCGGAATTGTTTAACGAATGACCAAAACAAGTTTGGAATCCGAACCCACGTCGTAAGATGTTTCAGATTTTAGCTGCTTGAGTGCAGGCAGCCCTCAACTTACAATATTTCATTTAGGTTTTTTTTGTTTTTTTTAAATTGGTTTAAAATATAAAATAGAAAAGAAAATAATAGGGAAACAGGGGTGGGAGAAGGAAAGAGAAAAGCGGAGGGCAATGGGAAAAAAGAAAGATTTCTGAGTCCTTTCGGTGCAGGAGAATAAGATAATAATAATAATGGGGGAAGGGACCTTGGAGGTCATCTAGTCCAACCCCCTGCTCAGGCAGGAAACCCTATACCATTTCAGACAAATAGCTGTCCAGTCTCTTCTTAAAAACCTCCAGTGTTGGAGCATTCACCACTTCTGGAGGCAGGTAGTTCCACTGGTTAATTGTTCTAACTGTCAGGAAAGTTCCAGGTTGCTTCTCTCCTTGACGAGTTTCCACCCGTTGCTTCTTGTCCTGCCTTCAGGCGCCTTGGAAAATAGCTTGACTCCCTCTTCTTTGGGGCAGCCCCTGAGATACTGGAAGACTGCTATCATGTCCCCCCTCGTCCTTCTCTTCGTTAAACTAGACAGATCCAATTCCAGCAACCGTTCCTTACATGGTTTGGCCTCCAGTCCCCTGATCATCTTTGCTGCTCTTCTCTGCACTCTTTCCAGAGTCTCAACATCTTTTTTACATCGTGGTGACCAAAACTGGATGCAGGATTCCAAGTGTGGCCTTACCAAGGCATTGTAAAGTGGTATTAATACTTCCTGTGATCTTGATTCTCTCCCTCTGTTAATGCAGTCCAGCACTGTGTTGGCCTTTTTGGCAGCTGCAGCACACGGCTGGCTCCTATTTAGGTGATTGTCCACTAGGACTCCGAGGTCCCTCTCACAGTTACTACTATTGAGCAAGGTACCCCCTATACTATACCTGTCCATTTGGTTTCTCTTGCCTAAATGTAGAACCTTACTTTTTCTCACCCTTGAATTCCATTTTCATAAATAGCATCAAAGCTCAGTTTCTTACCTTTACAGAGTAGCATAAACTAGCCATTTCTACGACAACAGATCCATCTAAACGGGAAAACCCAAAATCAAAATTTCATTTTTTTCCCCAACCACAAAATCTAGAAGCAGTTTCTCAAGCAGAAATAAAAGAAATTATGTTGGGTTTTTTTTTCCCCCTTTAATCAAAACAGTCAATTTAGCCATCTCTGCTAACTCCATCAACTTTTGCAGCCATTCGTTGTGGGGATCAAATCAATATTTCATTTAGTGACTGTTCCAAGTTTCAGCAGCCCTGAAAAAAAGGGACTTAGGACCATGTCTCACATTTATGACCGTTGCAGCGTCCCCCACGGTCACATGATCAAAATTCAGCCATTGGGCAATTGACTCGTATTTACGACGGTCGCAGCGTCCCGGGGATGTCACGCGATCCCCTTTTGCGACGTTCCGACAAGCAAAGTCAGCCGAGGGAAGCTGTGACTAACTTAATGACTGTAGTGATTCACTTAACAACTGTGGCAGGAAACGTCGTAAAACAGGGCAAAATTCACTTAATAAGTGTCTCACTTAGCAACAAAAATTTTGGGCTCCACTGTGGTTATAATAAATGAATACTTCTACCTGAGTATCTATTCCACTGTTTTTCAATCATGGCAACTTTAAGATGGATGGACTTCAACTCTCAAAATGCCTCAGCCCATATCTGTCTGGGGAATTCTGGGAGTGGAAGCCCACCCCTCTTAAAGCAGGTTGGCTGGGGGATTCTGGGAGTTGAAATCCTCCCATCTTAAAGCAGGCTGGCTGGGGAATTCTGGGAGTGGAAGTCCACCCCTCTTAAAGCATCCTGGCTGGGGGATTCTGGGAGTGGAAGCCCACCCCTCATAAAGCAGGCTGGTAGGGGAATTCTGGGAGTGGAAGTCCACCTCTTTTAAAGCACGTTGGCTGGGGAATTCTGGGAGTTGACATCATCAGTTTAAAATTGCCACGGTCGAGTAACTCTGGATGCGCACAGATGCAAAACAGCATCTCTCAAGTGAAGGCAACCCGAAATAGATTGATTTTTGAGGTGGAGTCTTCAGAATTTGTCGGTGGGGAGCTTTGTACATTTCCATGAAGTCACAACTGTTCGTGCAACTTTCTTTTTTCTTTTCTTTTTTTTTTTTTAAAGAAAAAAATCTGTGGTTTCAACTATGAATGGAGCCCTGCCAACAAAACATCATTAGAGAGAAAAACAACTTGGGAGAGACACACATTTTATAAAAGCCATTTGCCTCGCCCCGAAGATGCCTGGAAACAGAAGGAGGAAGAAAGAGGGAGAAGAATACAAGGGTCACCTCAGAAAAGTGGTTAATGGCCCAGCTGCTCCAGGCCTTCCCCCCATTTGGCTAAATGGCACTTAAACTGGGTTAGGGTGGGGTCCTTAGCAGCAAAAGAGAGAAAAAAAACAACTTCTGAATTACAAACATTTTTACGGAGGTTGGGGGGGGGTAAAGATGCTTTTTTTTCCCACAGCATCTCCGCCGAGCTTGCCAGCCCTATTCAAGGACCGTGGCGTGCTTCCTTTGCACCCCAAATTTCCATGGGAACACCCCCCACCACCCCCACAAAATTGCAAGCAGCCAAACACGGACCCAGCTTGAAAAGAAAGATTTTTAAATCCGGTTTTCTCTCTCTCTCTCTCCTTCCAATTCATTCCACTTTTTATCCAAATTGAGGACAGGCTCGTTGGCTTGCAAATGGGGGTGCAAGGGGGTGTCTCCCAGCTCGCATTAAGCTCTTTCCCCCCCCCCCCCGAGAACTTAAACCTTTCAAAGGTCCACCACGGGCTTTGCATCACCCAAGCAACCCTGGAAATGTCAGGCCAGTTTTGCAAAACCCCACCAGCCCGTAAAGGCAGCCAAGCCGAAAGAATTGCTCTTTTTTAGAATAATATTTTCCAACTTTATCACCCACAGAGTAGAAAAAAAACATGCATTAAAGAGGGGAATCCTTGCTTTTTAACCCCCCCCCCTCCAGGTTTGTTTTTGGGGCAACTGGAGAAAAAAAAAAGACAGGCTTTATATTAAATATATGTATAGAAGTGATTGTTGGAAATACACTTCTGCAACTCTGGAGCAGCGCAGATCCATTTGCTGTAACTTCTTAAACGTTCAATAAATCGAACTGGAGAAAAAAATGAACTTTTCTAAGTTTCTTTCAGTAATGGGGGTTTTCTTGCATTTCTTCTGTTGTGAAGTTGCCAAGTTGGGGTTGGTCACACTACAGAAAGTCCTCGACTTACAGTCACAATTGGGACCACAATTTCTATTGCTAAGCGGTGCCGTTAAGCAAGGGGTTGGACTAGATGACCTCCAAGGTCCCTTCCAACATTATTATTATTATTATTATTATTACTACTACTACTACTACTATTATTATTATTATTATTATTATTATTATTATTATTATTATTATTATTATTATTATTATTATTATTATTATTATTATTATTATTATTATTGATCATCGCACAGTCAGCCAGATGTTCAGACTGCATTTGGCATTTTGTCTACCTATTGAGTCCTTACCAAGGACCTGGGATAGACAGATGTGGATGTTTGATGGTATCACAGATATCGTCGCAGGATGGAAGCAGTTCCTAGTAAGGCCGCCTTTTGCAATTGACTGATGGCAAATTTGTCAATGCCGATGATGGTGTTCAAGTGGTGCTCCAGTTGTTTTGGGATTGCACCCAAGGCGCCTATTACTATTGGTACTACCCTTGCTTGCCTTTGCCCCAGTCTTTCTATTTCTATTTGTAGGTCTTTGTATTTTGTTATCTTCTCCAGTTCTTTCTCGTCTCTTCTGCTGTTTCCGGGCACTGCCACGTCCACTATGCAGACTTTTTTTATCTTTCTTATCGACAATTGTTAAGTCCGGGGTATTATGTTGCAGGTGCTTGTCTGTTTGAATTCTCAAGTCCCAGAGCAGTTTAATTTTATCATTTTCTATGACTTTCTCATTATCATCATCATCATCATCATCATCATCATCATCATCATCATTATTATTATTATTATTATTATTATTAGTTTAATGAAGAGAAGGACGAGGGGGGACAGGATAGCAGTGCTGGGCTGCATTAACAGAGGGATAGAATTGAGATCACGTGAAGTATTAATACCACTTTACAAGGCCTTGGTAAGGCCACACTTGGAATACGGCATCCAGTTTTGGTCACCACGATGTAAAAAAGATGCTGAGACTCTAGAAAAAGTGCAGAGAAGAGCAACAAAGATGATCAGGGGACTGGAGGCTAAAACATATAAGGAACGGTTGCTGGAATTGGGGATGTCCAGTTTAATGAAGAGAAAGACGAGGGGGGACATGATAGCAGTCTTCCAATATCTCAGGGGCTGCCCCAAAGAAGAGGGAGTCAAGCTATTCTCCAAAGCGCCTGAAGGCAGGACAAGAAGCAACGGGTGGAAATTCATCAAGGAGAGAAGCAACCTAGAACTAAGGAGAAATTTCTGACTATTAGAACAATTAACCAGTGGAACTCCTTGCCTCCAGAAGCTGTGAATGCTCCAACACTAGAGGTTTTTAAGAAGAGACTGGACAGCCATTTGTCTGAAATGGTATAGGCTTTCCTACCTGAGCAGGGGGTTGGACTACATGACCTCCAAGGTCCCTTCCAACTTTTT